GATTTGCAGTCTGTCTTTCAGTTTTTTTTGTCAAAGCAGAGTACCATGAAGAGCAAGCATAGTCCGTATGACATTGTATAAGGGCTAGACATAGGGTCCTGTGAGCCTCAGTAGGTAGACATTGTGCTTGTCTGTAGAGAAACTTTAGTCTGGCATTCACTTTCCTTACTGCACTGTTCCTGATCATTTCTCCTGACATGCATGGGTCAAAGGGGATTTCCAGATATTTTACTGAGGAAACTGAAGTGATGAGTTCCCCATTACATCGAACATTAAAAGTATTTCCCCTTCTCAGTTTTTGTTTCATGCCAAAGAGTATGGCTTCCATTTTCCCGAGGTGTAATGATAGTTCGTTGTCTACTAACCATTTGCTGCAGGACTTCAGTTCTAGTGTTATTACATTAGCTATATCTTGTGGGTCCAGCTGTACTTGTGTGTACCTGTGCCTAAATAAACTTTACACACACACACGCACGTACGCATGGACAGAGGGGATATAGGCTAGCATTAGGAGCTTCACTGAGAGGTTAACATTAGGAACTTCACTAAGAGGTTAACATTAGGAGCTTCACCAAGAGGTTAACATTAGGAACTTCACCAAGAGGTTAATTAACATTAGGAACTTCACCAAGAGGTTAACATTGAGAACTTCACCAAGAGGTTAACTTAGGAACTTCACTGAGAGGTTAACATTGGGAATTTCACTAAAAGGTTAACATTGGGAACTTCACCAAGAGGTTAACATTGGGAACTTCACTGAGAAGTTAACATTAGGAACTTCACTGAGAAAAAAAAATAGGACCCCCAGAGGGGAGGTCGAACCACCCAGGGGAACAGAAGATGGACCTGGGAAGAATGGATGGAAGAGCTAAGGAGAAGGATGGAACAAGAGTGGGAAAGGAAGCTAGGAGAGCTTGTCACTAAAATGGAGGAGAGGATGGATGCAGAGAACAAGAAGTGGAAGCTTTGAATCAAAACTGAAGAAGCCAGGATACAGATCCTAAAAGATAAACTGAAAATACTGAGGCAAGATATAAAGCCAAAGAATGGAAGGGGTATGCCATGAGGAGCAGGTACACTAATTTCCAACGAGGAAACCGAAGGAAAGGAATGAGTTAAGTCCTATGTTAAGGCCCTATCAGGCCACCAGGAAATGTTGAGGAACGAAAGTGGCATGCTGCTGGGCACAGGAACAGCACTGAGAGGTGCTGAGTAGAAAGATAAAGATTTTATTTCTTTATTAAGGTTACAGTGTGTAATTACAATTTTGGTTTGCTAAGTACAAAGAAAGCCACTATCATGCTGGTTCATTTTGGGCAGACTAATCCTAATACATAATACCTGCTTAAAACTAGACAAGAGTAGTTAACTTTATTAAAATCGTATTTAATACTAATGTGAGGTAGTCAAGGTGGAGGTTTATAAGAATAATAATCTTAAAGTTGCACATAATAAAAACAATATTACGATTAATGGTTCAAGCAGTAATATTTCATGGGCCCCCTGCAGAGTCACGACCAAGCCACTGGGAGATCCAGAAAATGATAAAGGCAGCAGCAATGGCTATGTTTAAGTGGGACCCAGAAATGCAGGGGGAAAAGCAATGGGAAGAGGAGAGGGAGAGGTCAGTTTTTATTCATGGGCTTCAGGAGATTGAAGGGAGGGCATACGAAGAAAGAAAACTGGAAGAGAAAAAAAAGAGATTGAAAATATCATCACACAGGAGAGGAGGTCATGACTGAGCTGATAAATTTTCAGAGAATAGGGGGATACTCGAAGGGAAGAAATCGGCTAGTCATATTGATTTTCAAGACAGGAACGGTGCAGAACCACGGCTAAAGGAAACAGCAGAATACCAGAGGGTGTACCTAGATCATGACAGAAAGACAGAAATTGAGAGAAAGAATACAAAGACGAAAGGGGAAAGGAAGAGAGACAAGTTTAGTCAGGAGACAACCAGAGTTGGGAGAAGCAGCATGTGCAACCACCCACCGAACCACTCTCAAAACCCCGCACCAGCATACTATCCTAAAACAACCATATTCCACACTCACAGACCCCACCCTACACAGTAGACTCCCATAGTGCCCTGCCACTCCCCAGCCCCCCCCCCCCAAAAAAAAAACAGAATACAGTGTTGGAAAAGAAGCTGAAGGTATGGTACACCAATGCAGATGGAATAATGAATAAATATGAGAAGTGGCATGAAAGAATCACAGAGGCATCACCAGACATCATAGCACTCACAGAAATCAAGCTCACAGGAATGATAATAGATGCCATCTTTCCAACTGGATATCAGAGCCTGAGGAAAGATAGAGGGGGTGGAGTTGCGCTGCTCATCAAAAACCAGTCGAGTTTTGAGGAGTTGAAAGGAGCGGACAGAGGGGAAGCAAGGGAATACATAGTAGGAACACTTCAGACTGGGGGTCCCAAGGTGGTGATTACAGTGATGTATAACCCACCACAGAATAGCAGGAGGCCAAGATAAGAATATGATGAGAACAACAGAGCAATGGTTGGTGCGCACTACCTGAGGTAGCCAGAAAAGCTGCATGGGCAAGACAAAATTACTAGTTGTGGGTGACTTCAGTCACAAGGAAATTGACTAGGTAAAAAGGAGCCACACGGGGGACCAGAAACATGGAGGGCTAAGTTGATGGAGGTACTGGAAAACCTCAAGCATCAAAACATTGGACACTACCAGAGAGAGAGAGAGAAAGTGGAGATAATGAACCAACAAAACTGGGCCTCATATTTGCCTGAGTAGTTCAGATGTTGAGAACATATGAAAGGCCCCATGGAGCTAGTGATCACGTGGTCCTGAGCTTCGAATACATAGTGGAGTTACAAGTGGAGAGGGAAGCAGGAAGAGTAGTAGGATGGGAGAAGCCACTACAAAAGAGGGGAATACACAGACATGAGGAACTTCCATCATGGGGTTCACTGGGATAGAGAACTAATGGGAAAATCAGTTACTGAAATGATGGAATACATTACAACAAAATGCAAAGAGGCAGAGGAGAGGTTTGTACCCAAGGGCAACAGAAATAATGGGAAGACCAGAGCGAGCCCTTGGTTTACCCAAAGGTCTAGAGAGGCCAAAACTAAGTGCAATAGAGAGTGAAAGAAGTATAGAAGACAAAGGACACAGGAAAATAAGATTAGTCAAAGAGCTAAAGACGAATATGCACACATAAGAAGGGAAGCCAAGCGACAATATGTAAATGATATACGTAGAATCGAAAGCCAAGTCCGACCCGAAGCTGTTGTACAGCCATATCAGGAGGAAAATAACAGACAAGGATCAGGTAATCAGGCTGAGGAAGGAAGGAAGGATGGGAGATCACAAGAAATGACCAAGAAGTATGTGAAGAGCTCAACATGAGATTTAAGGAAGTATTTTCATTGGGGACAGAAAGGACTCCAGAAATGTGGAATGGTGGGGTACACCAAAAAGTGCTGGACACAGTACAGGTGGTGGGACTGGACATCTTTCCATAGGTCCTGAGAGAGGGAGCAGGGGCACTATGTGTCCCACTAACAATACTCGACACATCTAAACAGGACGACTACCTGAGGTCTGGAAGACAGCGAATGTTGTCCCTATTATTAAAAAAAGGAGACAGGCACTTGGCATTAAACTACAGACCAAATGTCACTGATATGTATAGTATACAAAGTCATGGAGAAGATTATCAGGAGAAGAGTGGTGGAGCACCTAGAAAGGAATGAGCTTACACACAACCAGCACGGTTTCAAGGAAGGGAAATCCTGTCACAAACCTACTGGATTTTTATGACAAGGTGATGGAGGTAAAATGAGGGAAGGGGGGGTTGATTACATTTTCTTGGACTATAAGAAGGCTTTCGACACAGTTCCACACAAGAGATTAGTACAAAAGCTAGAGGATCAGGAAGGTATAACACCCTTTCTGACAAAGTGTCAAGTGGGCCCCTGTGACAAGCAGAATTTCACAGGAATCAGTCCTGGGACCAGTGCTGTTTCTGGTACGTATATGTGAATGACATGACAGAAGGGATAGATTCAGAAGTGTCCCTGTTTGCAGACGATGTGAAGCTAATGAAGAGAATTCAATCAAATGAGGACCAGGCTGGACTACAAAGGGATCTGGACAGACTGCAAGCCTGGTCCAACAACTGGCTCCTGGACCCCACCAAGTGCAGTCATGAAGACTGGGGAAGGACAAAGAAACCCGCAGACAGAGTACAGGCTAGTGTTCCAAAGACTGCAAACCTCACTCGTGGAAAAGGATCTTGGAGTGAGCATAATACCGAGCACATCTCCTGAGGTGCGCATCAACCAAATAACTGCTGCAGCATATGGGTGCCTGGCAAACCTAAGAATAATAGCGTTTTGACACATCAGTAAGGAATTCAAGACTACAATGTGTAAGTCAGGCCCACATTGGAGTATGCAGCACCAGTTTGGAACCCACACATGGTCAAGCACGTCAAGAAATTAGAGAAAGTGCAAAGGTTTGCAACAAGACTTAGTCCCAGAGCTAAGGAGAGGTTAAGGAAAATAGACCTGATGACACTGCAGGACAGGAGGGATAGGGGGGACATGATAACGACATATGAAACACTGAGGGGAACTGACAAAGTGGATAGGGACAGGAGTATCAGAGATGGGACACAGCAACAAGAGGTCATAATTAGAAGTTGAAGACTCAGATGATTCACAGGGGTGTTAGGAAGTGTATTTCTTAAGTCATAGAGTTGTTAGGCAGTGGAACAGTCTGAAGAGTAATGTTGTAAAGGCAGGTCCATACATAACTTTAAGAAGAGGTATGATAAAGCTCATGGAGCAGGGAGAGAGCAGACCTAATAACGACCAATGAAGAAGCAGGGCCAGATGCTATGACTCGACCCCTACAACCACAATTAGTTGAGTACACACACACATGCACACACGATCAATGGAAGTTAGTTTTATAAAGTAAGCTAAATGCCACACCTTATTTTCTTGATCTACAGGTCTTGGAAGCACTGTAGCAGAATTAGAAGTGAGAGAACACAGTGTACCAATTTTTGACAAGACAAAATTCTCCATGTGTCTACCTCCAATCCAGGAAATCATCAAGGATAAAGAGGTTTTTATCTTTTGTTGCTGAATATAAAAAAAGGCTTTTAATCATGCAGTAGTAAGAAATTCATAAATCTTCTAGCAATGTTCTAATCTTGATTTTATTTTTCTTTTATTAACACATCGGCCGATTCTCACCAAGGCAGGGTGGCCCAAAAAAGAAAAACTTTCTTCATCATTCACTCCATCACTGTCTTCCCAGAGGGGTGCTTTACACTACAGTTATAAAACTGCAACATTAACATCCCTCCTTCAGAGTGTAGACACTGTACCCATCTCCAGGACTTAAGTCCGGCCTGCCGTTTTCCCTGAATCCCTTCATATATATTACTTTGCTCACACTCCAACAGCACGTCAAGTATTAAAAACCATTTGTCTCCATTCGCTCCTATCAAATACGCTCATGTATGCTTGCTGGAAGTCCAAGCCCCTCGCACACAAAACCTCCTTTACCTCCTCCCTCCAACCTTTCCTAGGCCGACCCCTGTGCCACCTTCCCTCCACTACAGATTGATACACTCTTGAAGTCATTCTGTTTCGTTACATTCTCTCTATATGCCCGACCCACCTCAACAACCCTTCCTCAGCCCTCTAGACAACCGTTTTGGCAATCCTGCACCTCCTCCTAACTTCCAAACTATGAATTCTCTGCTTTATATTCACACAACACATTTCCCTCAGACATGACATCTCCACTGCCTCCAGCCTTCTGCTTGCTGCAACATTCATCACCCATGCTTCACACCCATATAAGAGTGTTGGTAAAACTATACTCTCATACATTCCCCTATTTGCCTACAATGACAAAGTTCTTTGTCTCCACAGACTCCTAAGTGCACCGTTCACCCTTTTCCCCTCATCAATTCTATGATCCACCTCATCCTTCATAGGACCCATCTGCTGACACGTCCATTCCCAAATATCTGAATACATTCACCTCCTCCATACTCTCTCCCTCCAATCTGATATCCAGTCTTTCATCACCAAATCTTTTTGTTATCCTCATAACCTTACTCTTTCCTATATTCACTTTTAATTTTCTTCTTTTACCAAATTCATCCACCAACCTCTGCAGCTTCTCTTCAGAATCTCCCAAGAGCGCAGTGTCATCAGCAAAAACCAACTGTGACAACTCGCACATTATGTTTGATTCTTTATCTTTTAACTCCACACCTCTTGCCAAGACCCTCGCATTTACTTCTCTTACAACCCCATCTATAAATACATTGAACAACCATGGTGACATCACACATCCTTGTCTAAGGCCTACTTTTACTTGGAAATAATCTCCGTTTTTTCTTACATACTTTTACTTGAGCCTAAACTATCCTCGTTAAAAACTCTTTACTGCTTTCAGTAACCTACCTCCTATACCATACACCTGCAGCATCTGCCACATTGCCCGGCTATCCACCCTGTCACCTGCCTTTTCCAAATCCGTAAATGCCACAAAAACCTCTTTAGCCTTATGAATACTGTTAAATTATATGTTTCACGTTAACACTTGGTCTACACACCCCCTACCTTTCCTAAAGCCTCCTTGTTCATCTGCTGTCCTACTCTCCGTCCTACTCTTAATTCTTTCAATAATAACTACCATACACTTTACCAGGTATACTCAACAGACTTATCCCCCTATAATTTTTTCAACTCTCTTTTGTCCCTTTTGCCTTTATACAAAGGAACATGCACGCTCTCTGCCAATCCCTAGGTACCTTACCCTCTTCCCTGCATTTATTAAATAATAGCACCAACCACTCCAAACTATATCCCCACCTGCTTTTAGCATTTTCTATCTTATCCTCAATCCCAGCTGCCTTACCCCCCTTTCATTCTACCCACTGCCTCACAAACTTCCCCCACACTCACAAATGGCCTCTTCTCACTCCTACAAGATGTTATTCCTCCTTGCCCTATACACGAAATCACAGCTTCCTTAACTTCATCAACATTTTAAAATTTCCTCAAAATATTCCCTCCATCTCCCCAATACCTCTAACTCTTTATTTAATAACTCTCCTCTCCTATTTTTAATTGACAAATCCATTTGTTCCCTAGGCTTCCTCAACTTTTAATCTCACTCCAAAAGTTTTTCTTATTTTCAACAAAAAATTTTTTGATAACATCTCACCCACTCTCTCATTTGCCCTTTTATTACATTGCTTCACACCTCTCTTAACCTCTCTCTTTTTCTCCTATACTCTTCCCTCCTTGCATCACTTCTACTTTGTAAAAACTTCTCATATGCTAACTTTTTCTCCCTTACTACTCTCTTTACATCATCAATTCCACCAATCGTCCTCTTCCCTCCTGCACCCACTTTCCTCTAACCACAAACTTCTGTGAACACTTTAACACTGCATTTTTAAACCTACCCCATACCTCTTCGACCCCATTGCCTATGCTCTCACTAGCCATCTATCCTCCAATAGTTGTTTATTTCTTACCCTAACTGCCTCCTCTTTAGTTTATACACCTTCACCTTCTCTTACCTGATGCTTCTATTCTCCTTGTATCCCATCTACCTTTTACTTTACTATGCTTCAACTAAAA